TAGACTGTAGTGTACCTTTGGGAAAGGGAGTAATGTATGAGAATGCTAGAAAGGTAGGCTGAGGTAGGTTGTAAAGGTTTTTTTATTAATTTTTTTTAATCAATGAAAATCTGTCTTCTCTCCCTCCTTGGTAAGAAGGAAAAATAAACCCCCTATCTGAATAATCATAGCTAGTATTTATGCTGCTATATATGCTACTATTACTACTATACTATTATTTATACTAGTAATTTTACTTTAACATTCGAAACACTTTACAATTTATATCATTTGATCCTCACAACCACCCTGGGAAGTAGGCGTTATTATTACCTACCCATGTTGAGGAAACTGAAAACAAGTGCCCAGGATCATTATCTAGTAAGTATCTGAGGTTGCATTTGAACTTAGGTCTTCTTTTTTTTTTATACTTTTTTATTTTTTTTCACCAGTTACATGTCAACAAAATTTTTAGCATTAATTTTTACAAGATTTTGAGTCCTAAGTGTTTTCTTTCTACTCCCCTATTTCTAAAAAGGTAGGCAGTTTAATTTAGTTGATACGTGTTCTATCGTGTAAAAAATATTTCCACATTAGTCACAGTTGTAAAAGAAGAAACAGATCAAAAGGGGAAAAAAAAAAACACAAAAAAGAATAAAGTAAGTGAAAAAAATATGCTTCGATCTGCATTCAGAGTCCATCAGTTCTTTGTCTGAATCTGGATAGCATTTTCCTTCCTGAGTCCTTTGTATTTGTCTTGGATCATTGTGTGGCTGAGAAGAGCTGGGTTATTCATAGGTGATCATCACACAATGTTGCTGATACTGTGTACAATGTTTTTCTGGTTCTGCTCATTTCACTTTGCATCCATTAGTACAAATCTTTCCAGGTTTTTCTGAAATCTGCCCACTCATCATTTCTTTTTTTTCTTTATTTTTTAAGACTGCTCATCATTTCTTATAGCACAATAGCATTCCATTCCATTCATATACCACAACTTATTCAGCCATTCCCCAATTGATGGGCATCTTCTTAATTTCCAATATTTTGCCATCACAGAAAGGGCTGCTATAAATATCTTTGTACAGGTGGGTCTTTTTCCTTTTTTTTAATGATCTCTTTGGATTATAGACCTAGAAGTGGTATTGCTGGATCAAAGGGTATGTACAGTTTGGCTGCCCTTTGGGCATATAAATTTAGGTCTTCTTGATTCCAGGTCTAGCATTCTATCCACTGTGCCATCTAGCTCCTACATGTTACAAAGATGTACAGTCAAGCAAAACAAATTCTCTCATTGACATGTCCTATATATGTATACATGTATGTATGTGTACATATGTATATGTGTACATGTACATGTGTGTATATCTGTCTGCCTGTTAGTCTATCTATCTTTACTCTGAGTCCATAACCTTTCTACAAGAGGTGAGCGGCATGACTCGTCATGAGTCCTTTGAAATAATGGTTGGTCATTATAATGATCAGAGTTCCTAAATCTTTCAAAGCTGTTTGTCTTTACAGTATGCAAAAGGTTTTAAATGCCAAACAGGGAGTGTGTATATGTGTGTATGTGTATGTATATGTGTATGTGTATGTATGTATATGTGTATGTGTGCATGTATATGTGTGTATGTGTGTATATATGTATATACATACACACACACACACTATATATATATATATATACATATACAATTCTAAAGGTAATAAGGAGCCATTGGAGTTTATAGAGTAGGAGAATAAAATAGTCAGACCTACACTTTAGGAAAACCACTTTGGCAGATGTGTGGAAGATAAATTAGAGTAGGAATTCTAAAATATTTCTATAGGCTAAAACCAACAATATGAACTTTAAAAGTAAATATTAAGCAAGGGTTAGATATCTACCTATTATATCTACATTAAGATTCCTAGATGAGATGACCTCTAAAGTCCCTTCTAACTTGAGCTTCTGTGATTTTTTCCAACTCATTATACAAGCATTTTTCCATATTAGTCACATTGAGAAAGAAAACACAGACAAAAAATAAAGTTAAAGAGAAAAAAAAAATTATGCTCTAATCTACATTCAGATTCCATCAGTTTTTTCTATAGAAAGGGATAGCACTTTTCATCATAGGTCCTTCAGAACTGTCTTGGATCTTTGTATTGCTGAGAATTAGCTTCTATGATATGATAAAATATGAAGTCTTACATAGTGGTTCAAAAAATCAATTATACAAGTAAAGGTTAGCAAGACTTGACTTAGCAGTGAGAAAGACAAGGGGATGTTAATCAAGTATAAATTCACTTGGAGCCAACAGTGGGCATGGCAGAATGATGTAGAGGGAAGGGCACTGAATGTACAGTCAGAAGGTAGCTAAACAAATCGTGGTATATGAATGTAATGCTGCCTTCCCTCCTTGACTACCCCCAATTTATCCTGTATATATCTTGTTTGTTTTTGTCTCCCCCCATTAGATTGTGAGCTGCTTGAGAGCAGGTGGTTTTTGCTTTCCTTTATATCCCTAGGGCTTGGAACTGTGCCTACCACATAGTAAACAATTATTTAATGCTTGTTGATTGATTGACTGATCTTGTCAGTATAGATCTTCCCTTCACCCGTGCAGATCATAGCTTTTCCACTCTGCACACAATAGGAACATAATAAATACATGCATTGAATCCTCAACTCTCCAATGGTACTTAAAGTAACTTAGTTTTAAACACAGTCTTATCTTTTTCTCCTTGTCTCCCGTTAGACTGTAAGCTCCTGATGAGCAGAGGTTGTATATCAATCTGATTTGTTCTTTAGGATTAGATTATTTAGTTTCCAATTAATTTCTAACCTATGCTTCCCTGGCCCCCGTAACAGACTGACAGAATGACCTGGTAGAGAGAGAGTCTGCTTCAGTAGCAGGAAGACTTCCTTCAGGTTCCTGCCTCTGACCCACACCAGCTCCATCACTCTGGGTCAGTCACTTAATTTCTCAGCACACCTGGTAACACCCAAAAAATATAAGTAATTGAGAAAGCGTACCTCCCTACACGGACAAAATCCCAGCTTGGGACCAAAAATTCCCCAATACGGGGCACAGGGCAATGTCAGGAAACATCGCCTAATGGGGAATATGCTAAATTTTGACCCAGGAGACCAAGGTTTGAATACAGCTCTGACTCAACCTTGCTGTGCCTGGGTTCCAGTTTTGACATCTGTAAAATGGGGATAACAGTAATTTCACTACTTACCTCTCAAGCAAAATTGGCATAAAGAAAGTGCTTTGTAAAGCATACTGCCTTGCCTATAGTAGACACTTAATTTATGGACTTGAATTGAACCTTACAGTGCCATATGAATGTGAAGTATGATTATTGAAGGCAAATATTCACTGATGAACTGATGAACTGAAGAAGAAATATCCCAGTCACTAACATACTTTCCAATCATTAACTTCCCCTCCCCTCTTTGGTCCCTTTCAGCTCAGGAAGGGCCCAGAGTCAAACATAGCAAGTGAACCTGGTTGTACATACCACTTGTCCAACACACTGCTAACCGCCCCCGAATTATCTAGGGCTGGGGAACCTGAAGAGGAATTGGACCAAGGGCTGCACTTAAGGACCTAGAGGGCCACATGTGGCCTTGAGGCATTGGTTTCAAGATCTGCACGTTTGTTTTAAGTTTCTGCCACTAATCTATTTGCTCGACTACGATCTAAATCTGTATTTCTCTTTACCACCCACACCTGTCAGCAGGATGATATGAGCCTCTCAACGATCCAGCAAAGAGCCGTGAAAGGGAGCTTGAGATCTAGTAGATTGTAAAGTCATTTAGGAGACTGTAAGCTACTCAAGTACAGGGGTCCAGTCATTTTTTTTTTACCTTTGTATCTTCTTTACCTAGCTCAGTGCCTGGCATACAGTAGGCATTTAATAAATGTCAGATAAATCGAGATTTCTGGCCTAGGCTATTTGGAGGTCAAGGGCTTCTAAGAGAGCAGCAGCTGCCACCACAGGGCCCATTCCACCCCTTCCCAGTCAGGTTCCAACATGGACCTAATTTCATGGCAGCTCCAGTGGGAAAAAACCCATGAACCTTCCTATCCTTTCACCTTCCTCTGCCCCCAGGCTCCCATAGATGCCTACAAATGGAACGTGGGCCTGTTTTCATCATGGGCCAATAAACAACAATAAATATCCCTATAAACTCACTTCTAACAGTTCCCACTTTGTCAAATCTTCCTTAGAGGTATACACAGCAGGCCAAGATTTGAACATCTGATAGTATGCTCTCCCCAGCTCCCAGGCAAGGGACCGGGGTCTGGGGACAGGCAAGGTTCACACTTGCTAGGTTTAGGATAGAGACTACGTCCAGGGTCAAACATCTACCTTTGACAAAGGTTCCGTATCAGAGAGACTTTGTATGGGGCCTCAGTCCCCAACTACAACCACACACTCTCCCAAGCTCCCAGAGCCCTCCCTGTCCAAGTTTAGCTTCTGGACATGTAAAAGCAGTGAACAAAGAAAGATGAAAGAAGAGAGGAGAAGAAAAAAGAAAGATGGGTCCAAATAGAGGAATCAGATGCAAGGTTAGGGAATCTTGTTCATCTGAGGTTTTAAAGCAAAGAGGAACTCTCCTCTCTGGGGTTTAGACAAGATAAGGTTGGGGTGCCAAAGTAGAGAGGAAGGAGGGGCAACAGAGAGGAAGGAGGCTGAGGGGGAAGAGTATCTTTGGGTCACCCTGGAGTAAGGAAGGACAATAGAGTGAGGAGGATGAGGGCATTGGGTAAAAATGGGAGAGGTTTTAGACAAGGGAGGGAGTTGCCCCCTCAAGACCCATCATAAACTCCAAAGCAGAACATTACCAGGAAAAAAAAAAAAAACACCTCAGTGCTTGGTTAGCACTGCTACTGTGGGGATTTTCCCTTTTAATTAAAAACACACACACACACACACACACACATATACACACACAAATAGACTAGACCCATCGGAAAAAAAAAAAAAGTGATGAGTTGTATAGGCAGAATACTTTTCAGCCCCAGGGACCGTGACCTGCTTGCTGATTTGTTTAAATTTGCAGCTCATTACCACCACCTTTCTAGAGCCACCTAGGCAGAGGAAAGCCACCCAGTATCCCAGGGTGGGGATGCAGCAGGTTCACATTCATGCGGCAATGAACTATCAATTCACCCTGGACATGGAGGCCTTGAGCATAAGCATGGGGGATCAGGTGAGTAGACCAGAGGGGGAAGAATTGATGGACTTTTTTTTTTTAATTTAAAAATTGTATCTTGGGGAAAGGGTTGGGGGGGAGAAAAAGCTCAGAGGAGGTTCTGATGGAAGGAGAAGATTGGTCCAAGAAACTCAACCTTCATTTCCAGTGTGATGGAGGCAGGGGAAGGAAGAGGGAAGGGAAGAAGGGAGAAGAAGGAGGAGAGTTTATAGTTTACGGACCTGTTGCTGCTCCTGCCTGCTCTCAAAACTTATCAGCCCACTTGGAGAGATCCGTCCATGGTTAACTCAGATAAACACGGAAAGCCCTCAGAAGCCCTCTTTATCCAAGAGGTTCAAATCCTGGATCCATAGTGGAAAGAGCACCAACATAGAGTCAGATGATCTGGACACAAATCCTGTAAAATGAGGGGGTAGGGGGAAGGTCCCTGCTCTCTCTAAATCTAAATCTGTTTGTGACCTAAAACCTATCCTCAGTTTCCCTACCCATGAAAAGAAGAAAATAGTCACTCCCTTTCTTTATTTCTAGGGAAGGGCTTCTTAAATCTGGGATGCATAGACTAAGTTTCAAGGAGTCTAAGAACTTGGATGGGAAAAAAAAGTTTTACATCTTTATTTTTGCTAATCTCTAACTAAAATGTAGTATTTCCTTCAATTATCTAAAAGGTAAATTCTGATAATTGGTCCATAGGTCTTCATCAGACTGCCAAAGGAGAACACTTAACCCAAAAGGTTAAGAACCCCTGCTCTGGGCTAGAATAAGGAATAGGTGGGGAAACAACTTTCTAACATCCTTTAGCCTTCAGTATTAGATTCAGTTTCTCATTGTTATGTTGAACACCTCCTGTATAAAGCTGTGTTGGCTACCCTCGAGGTGTTCATAGATGATGTCAGAAGACAGAACACATGAAATAGGTACTATAGAATTGACTCTGAATGAAGAGAAGAAATGGGTATGCAATTCAATAAACATTTATTAAGCTTATTCTGTGCAGCTGGGTACGATACAAAGTTGAAATGACTCAGTTCCTACCTTCAAAGAGTATACTGTCCGGTAAGGATGTATCAGAATGAGCTGAAGAAGTGGAAACCCCGTGAAAGAGAGATTTCAGGCATGAATTTCTGTATTTTTAGAGGACTTTGCCTGAGCCTAGGGAGAAGGTGCCCCATCATCACTTTTCACTCCCTCTACCCCCTTCCAAAGTCTCCCCCTCGTTAGTGTGTGGGCTGTTCAAATGGCTTAGACCCAGAAATCAGGGCTCTCTGCCTGGAAAAAGCTTTAATATCTGACGATAGGGAGTAAAGCAACTCAAAATTGGATCACAAGGCTCTCCAAGAGGGAAGAAGGATGAAAGGGTAGAAGGAAGAAAGATGACCTCTCTTAAAAAAAAAAAAAAAAAGTTCTTGGGTCTTGTCTCCTTTTCTCTTCCAGCCAGGGACATTCTCCCTGAGGAAGGATTTCTCCCAAGGCTGGGGTGGGTGTGTAGAATTAGAGCTGCCCTGAAATTTGTCCCCCTTACCACCTTCAGACTACTCACACTTCCTCTCAATCCTCCAGGATTCTAGCATTTACATCTAACTTTCCAAGGTATAGAAATTTGAGTTGTGGGTCAGAAGCAGAGAGAGGATATAGAGACATAAAAAAATGTGGGGCAAGCCAACCACCACTGGTCTAAGGATTTGGTCCATTGGACCCTTCCCTGCCCTCCCAAATAGAAGGTCCAGAAGTCTCAGTATAATTAAAGTCCAGATGGGAGACGGGCAGGCATGATAGCCAAATTCACACTGAATCGTCCTCATCACCTTGACCTCCAGTTCCCTGCTCCCACCCTATTTAGGTTATTTAAATTCAGTCTTCGCTCACAAAGACAGGCTGGCCACAGGAGCCCTGACCCAGTTGGATAACATCACACTCACCAACCTCTGGACTTGGTCTGTCCCCTGGTTTCTGAGAAGTCAAGGGTTTCCCCTGCATTGTATTTCTCAATACCCAGCACAAGTCTCCTGGGAGACGAGCAGTCGGCTGAGGAGGGCACAGGGGGAAAACCAGTGACTACCTCAAGCCAAACAGTGAAACTACCCCTCTCTCTACACGATAGTCCCAAGCGCATTTCCCAGAATCTAGCCTTTTGTGTGAGTATCAAGCACTATGGAGTATGAAGACTATGGACTCCTCAGAATAATGTTTTTAAATAATTGAAGGAAATGCTAAATTTCATTTAGAAAATAGATGTAATTTTCCCCCATCCAAGTTCAGGGACCCCCTAAAGTCTATCCACAGGGTCTGTGGCCCCCAGATGAAAATCTCCTACTCCAGAAGATAAGTGGGAAATAGAGGTAGGAGGCTGGGTTGTGGAAAGTGGTAATGTACTAGCTTTGAAAGGAAAGTCCAGGTCTGCTCTGGCATATAAGGAGGCTCCATAGTCACAAAGGGATGCAGGCCTTCATGGATCTTTTCAGGAATTGAGCCTGATGATTTGGTCGATAACAAAGTGAAGAAACCAGGTGAATATCACCTGGTTTGAGGTTTTGCTGTAAACATTTTGCCCAACTCTGTGATGCACATTAGTCACGCCACTGGAGCAGAAAATCAATAAAATGAGGTTCCAAAAATAAAAAAAAATTTTTAAAAAGAAAGGAAAGTCCACTCTGTAGCTGGATTCCAACTCAACAGAGCACTGGGGGACCAGGTAGTGAAGGAGATCTCACAGTACAGCTACATTGTCAGGTCAAGACAGACAAATTCTCCAAATGCCAGACTCTAGGGCTGGGTTGGAGTTGGGCTTCTATCCTGAAGGCTCTCTGCACTCACCCTCTTCTTTGTTTTGTTTTGTTTTTTGAAACTTCCCAGCATGTCCCTCCACTCAACCCTGACGGCAGGGCTGAGGGGTTCTAGATCTTTCCAAGCCCTAGCAATGTACTGGGAAGCTAACCAGGTGTAGGACCCAGGCCTCCCATTTCCCTTCTTTCCCAGCTACCCATTTTTCTTCAAGGGGGGAAAAAAATCTCTAGAAAGAGTAGGGAGGAGGGGGAATGTGAAAAGCACTAAGGTTTATTCTTTTGTTCTCTCTCCTCCCTTCGAATTGGTTTCCCATCCCCACCCATCCCCAGGCTATTGCAGTCCAAGGTGAGCAGACCCGTCCCCCACCACACAGCTAGGGCCAGTGGGATTTTTCTTCTGAGGTACCAATTCCCATGATTGAACAATCTGAGGCAGAAAGATGACCCCAAGTTAAGCCTTGTGGTCACAGCTTTATTATGCTCTGTTAAGGCCTAGACTGATCTTTCTTGATTTTTAATATTCTCTTACTTTCCCTGGCTCCTCTCTCCATGCAAAGCAAACATGGACTCCGGGGAGAAAATCTCACTCAGTAACCGACAATGAAGAAATTAGTCCTCTTTTGTTTCCCTCTCTCCAGTTTGGATCCTCATTCCTGGCCTAAGAAAGGCCAGGAATATGAATAGATACAAAAAACATTTATTAAATGCCTGCTGAGTGCAGAACATTTTGAGTGGGGGTGGTAGAGATGGAAAATGTAGGCAAGATGTGATTGCTGCCTTCATAGAGCTCACAGTTTGGTAGGGAGTTTAGAAACAAACACAGCTGACTGACCATCATACAAAAATGTTACCTGACAATTATGGTAATGGCAGAATGGAAAAAGGCCCACCTGGATCTGGAGTTAGAGAACTCTGCCTCAGCCACTTAGCAGAGCCTTCTTCCTGGCTGTGTGTGTGTGCCTCTTTCAGATCGTTCCTTCGACACAAGTCTTTCCTCATCCCCTTTATCACTTGAGCCTTCTCTCTTGATTATCCCCAGTTTGTCCCCCATCTATCTTCTCTGTACATAGCTGTTTGCTTGCTGTCTCTTCCATCAGGCTGTGCGCTTCTTGAAAGCAGGGACTGTCTCTCTTTCCCTTTCTTTGTATTCCCAGGACTGAGCACAGTGCCTGGCACAGTCATCACTGAACGTCTGTTAACTGCCTATATAATGATGACCAAGTCATTAAATCTTTCCTGGTCTCGATTTCCTCAACTGTAAAAAAAGGGAGGAGGGAAGGGCGGGGAAAGGATTAGATAATCTCTGAGATCCTTTCCAGCCCTAAATCTCTGCTACAACGATTAGAGTTGTAAATCCAGGCGCTCTAGGAGGTCTAATAGGGAAAGCTAATCCCCACGAGCAAGGAGAAGGGAAGGAATCACTACAAACTCACTGAATGACTTAATTTCTCTGCCCTTAAAACGAGAAAATATATATCAAGTGTTTTGCACATCTTAAAGGGCTATACAAATGTCAGCAATAGTAATAATATTTATTTTAAAATAATATTTATTAATAGCATTACCCTCATCTGTAAAATGAGAGTGATAATAATGCTTGTCCAGTCTACCGCACAAAGTTGCTGCGAAAGCAGTTTGCTGAATATAAAGGATTTCCAAGTTGAAGGGCTAATTTTTTAAAATTAGCCTTTCCCAGAACCCTTCATCCCTATATATACCATTGTCCCCTTTGTCTTTACAGGGACAGCTTCTGGGATCCAGGCCGATGGTAGGACGTAGGTGGCCAAGGCTGGAGTATAAACTTGTGGCCTTGGAGCTTTAAAAGTTGTTCTAGAGGGGGTTTTGTTGATCTGTTTGTGCCTCTTAGCCCGGAAGCCAGGAGAGGGAAGGGATAACTAGAGGATCGAAAAACTGGAGCTGATGTGGCCAGAGGCAGAGGGGGTGGAGAAGAATGTGATCTTGCCCTGGGCACAGGAATGCCTAGGCATGGCTCAGCCCGCAGGAATTCTGAGCTTGCCTGCTAAGAGCCCTCAGACCCGTCCTACTTCAGTCTGAGCAAATGCCAGGGAGGGGCTGAGACTGGGGAGAGTCAAGGCTCCACTTAGTTTCTGAGGCAAGTCTCCCCCCCTCAATCACTTCAGGTGGAGGGCAGACCTGTGCACAGGTGAACTGATCATTTATCTGCAATAGTGTTCAATTCTAGGTGACGCAGTACTC